TTTGGGTTAGGGTTAGAGTTTTTTTATATTAAATAATCTTATAATCTTTATATATTCCCACCTATACTAAATAAGATTCTTTTTTTTTTTTACTGATAATTTTTTCAGCATTATAATTAATTAGCTAAAATTTGTATATAATATTAAATAATAAAATATTTATTAATATAATTCATATTACAATTATAATTTTAAAATAAATAAAAAATTTAACTTTATTATATAATTTATTCGCTCCTCTAATAATTCTAATTTACTCTTACTATTTTATCTATCCATCTAATTTCATTTTTACTTACTATTCGCTATAACCCATTTACTTTAATTTATCTAATTTAATTTTTACTCATTTTTCTATAATCTATTCACTTTAATTAACGATCTTATTTAATATATCTGATATCTAATTACTATAACACTCTAATAAAAAAAAATTATTACTTGTATTAAAAAAAGAAAAAACTAAACCTCTAAACCTTTATACCTATAACTATACAAATACACACAACAGAATCCAAGTTCAGCTATAAGAATTATTGCTCTTAACAAATTTCAGTTACTATAAATGCTTTTTTTTTTTATATACTTATACAGTAGTTCATATGCCATCCTTATATTTTCCCTTATATTATACAAGTTTAAATTTTGGAACTCTTCACTTTTGGTCTTGAAAGTGCATATATCGTCTCAAATACAAGTTTCAACATATTAGCCACTTGATCAAAAAAAACCCCAAAAAAAAGCTATGAACCTAGTTAACTATTAGCTATATACTATGCTATTACGTTTACTAAGAAATATGGCACTAGCAAAAGTCCACTAGGAATCTGATTATATCTGATTAAATTCACCAGCTGCTAGTAAAGTGAAAGACAAATGTATTCTGAAAATTATTTGACCATAGGTGTCATACTTAGCAACTTGTCATATAAGTGATTACGTTTTCATATAGGGGGTACTTTAAAACTAATATAAATAATTGTGTAATGATTGATGTTTATTTGTACTATATTAGCCAATCAAAATGACTTTCCACCATGCTGGCTAGGGTACTGTGAAATTATGAAATAACATCATTTATTTACTCGCATTAACAAATTGATCTAAACTAACTATACCTACCCTAACACTAACCCTAACATCTTAGGCCGAATGATTATCAAGTGATGTGATGATTATGAATATATCACCTTGTTCCTTGATCTTCAATCTTTCTTACAGCTAAATAATATGGGAAATTTCAAGCCTTTTCTTGTATCATATTTTTAATTTTTTTTTTTTTTAACTTTGAATGAAGATAACTTGACAACCACCACGTCAAATTTGATGAACCTTTCTTATTTAAATTCTACAAACCAGTATAATTCAAATTAAGAAAAGTTTATTAAATTTGGCTTGGTGGCTGTCGAGATATTTTCTTTCAAAGTTTTAAAAAAAATTGCATAAAATTTTCTCAAAATTTAAACGAAGGTACCTCGACAACCACAAAGTCAAATTCGATGAAGTTTTTTTTTTTTTGATTCAATGAATCTGTAAGATTCAAATAAAAAAATATTTATCAAATTTGGATTGATAGTTGCCAAGATATCTTCACTCAAAGTTTTAAAAAATTCAACGTCTATCAAAAGTGATAAATTTCTCAACTTTGAATAAAAATATCTCATCAAATATTATCGCTCTTTTTGATTTAGTTGGATCGGTGAATTTTTGCAATTATTTTTTTGAGTCTGTGAGTCCCGTTAGTCCCATGAATCCATGAGTCCGCATATATGCATATATCCTGCATGTATAATAATTATCATAATTATTTGTAATTGTTAGGGAAACAATATACTAAATAAGGCCAATAATTATATATAACTAGAGTATAACGATTAAGTTTTTATCATATTATAATATGTCTTTACCAAAACATCACGAATATGAAATTGGCACCTGCTATGGTTGCCTAAAATGTCTTTTTTGCTTTAAAGACTTAAAAAATAATTCTTGTTCATGTGATTTAAAATTAAAACCATCCCGTAATGATAAGTTTTGATCTATACAAGGGAAACAGATTTATAACCGATGTTATAAAATTTCTAAAACTCGCTTAGCCTCAAATTAATTGGTTAAAAGAGCAAAGCAAATTTTTTGACTATAATAGTAACTTCGATGAAAACTTTGATCTTACACTTTGCTCAGCCTGTAATTCAAGATTTGATCAGGCTAAAAAAGTAAACAGCTCAAATGAAACTAATAAAATAAACCAAGACAGTATAATTGACCAAGACCAACAAAATCATAATATAATTAGCCATGATAACTATGACATAGTCAATCATGATATAATTAATTATGAATATAATACAAGCGACTATAACATTAACCACGACTATAATACAAGCGGCTATGATATTAACCATGACTATAATACAAGCGACTATGATATTAACCACGACCATAATATAAGCAACTATGATAATATTGACCAGGATACAAACGATTATAACTATTATAATGAAACAGAACTAACACAATCAAAGACAAATCAAGCAGTTAATTTGATCGAGTTAAAGGTGAAAATTATTATTGATACAAAAAAAGCCAGTTCTATAGGAAAGTGGTTTATATTTAAGGAAGAAGAAATTAATAATTTATACCTGTTTCAATCGAGTTTAAATAGCCATATATGAAAGTGTTTAGATCTTCGATATATTGACTATGATGATTATGAAGTAACTTATAAAATAAATGCCCGAGGACAGGCTATAAGTATAAATGAAAAAAAGGATTTTTTAAATTTTATAAAAGAATGTAAAGAACCTGATAATTTGGCAAAACAGATGCATATTTATACTGTTCTAAAAGATCCAGAACAATTTTGTAAAAGAAAATCTGAAGTATATATATTTATTATTATATATTGCATTATTTTATTCTATATTTTAATTATATTAATAAATATTCTTTTATTTAGAATACCAATAATAATGAAAATATTAAAAAAAAAAATTAAAACCAAATTATACTCCTAAAGAAATGGATTTAAATGAAGACGAATATAATCAAGCTCAAGTTATTATGGAACTACGAAATAAATATAAGTGTTCATAGCATGTTACACCATGCTATGTTGAAGATGAGCACCATCTTCAATTAAATGCAGCTCGCTTAATATTATGGGCTCGCGATATAGTATGTATATATAATATACTAAAATAAATTAATTGCTTTTATATTAAATATTTATTTATAATATATTATGAAATTTTAGATTAAAAACATGGCTACGCTTGATACACCACCTACTTATCCTGCATTTGGAATGATGGACGCACTTAAACCCAAAATTCATGATCAAATTACACCTAACAGTCAAATTGCATCTTATAATCAAATCACATCTTATTCTTCTACAGTACCTATACTACCGAATATGTCATCGTCTATGTTATCTAATCAACTACCAACTTTACTACCAGGTTTCAATCCTTACATATATCCTTATAGTTTATTTTATTATCAAATGCCTCAATTTCAAACTACTAGTAGTAATATTTCTTTAAAAGAATTTTTTTCTAAATTAGATCAAATTCATAATAGTAATGGTTTGTATGCTAGTTTTGAAAATTCATTTGAAAAGTACGGAGTTACAGTAAATGGTATAAAGGATTTAACAGATGAACAACTAGATGAATTAGGCATAATTCAGTTTGGATAGTGTATAAATATAAAACAAGAGGCTAAAAAATATTAATAGAAATCTTATATTATATAGTTATAGATAGTTAAATTTTTTTAGATTTTTATATTATTATATATAGAAAAAGTAGAATTTTAATAAAGCTATTAATTCTATCGAATCACGTTTCTTTTGCTCTTAAGCGTCAATCTTAATATGATTAGCAAGTGACCTTTATAGTACTTAAACATAATTATATTTACAAATAATTTTTGCTAAAAATTTGAATACGCAATTTTGATGTAATTGAAATCTTCACAAGCATCAATTTCAATGCGATTAGTAAGTGATCATATTAGTCATTTATTATAATAAATCAAAATAATCATTAAGTCAATATTTGAGTAGTTCCTTATTGATTTCTATTATTTGTCAAATGTTATCATCAAAAATTAAAAAAAAATAACAATTAAAAAACAAAATTAAAAAAAAAATAAAAATATCTATTCAAAAGAATGTAACAAATGCTACTGATTATCGAAATTCTAGTAAAGCATCAACTTCGGTAGATTTAGTACTCCATTCTCTAATTTTACCAACTATAATAATGGAATAGTTGAATTTGTTACTATTTAAGCGAAAGCCAAGAGATAGTAAGTATTTGATATTGTTTTTTGAGCTTCTTATATTTGTTTATTTCAGTTTGTGATGAAATTATTCAAAAAAAACTACTAAAAAAAGAGCTTTTGAAGTGTTTTTTATTCGATTGTGAAGAGCAAGAGAACTAGTATTAATAAGTAAGAAGAAATATTTAAATAACTATTTAACTTTTATGAAAATAACAATTACAAACCAATTATTCAAATCAATTCTTTTTTATATTTTTAAGCTATCCGATTAGTAATTTATTTCATTCAATGAGGGTCAAAATTTGTATTCAACTAGTAGAAACTTAGGTAAATTAGTAAACTCAAAATTTCGATCGATCTGTGATCGCTGCATATATACTTTAAAATTGATGCAGATCCGATCACTAGATCACAGGAGTTTTGAATATAAAAATTGTATGAATGAAGTTCTTTTTCTCAAATGAATGCAATATATATTTATTTATTTATTTTGCTTCTCTCTTTTATAATAGGAATGTAATGTTAAATACTGAATTAAATGTATCTGATCTAATTAGAAACTCAATGAGAATCTCTAGACTAAATTTAATATAAAGTTAATTCGTTATAATAGATTTACTATTAAATTATACACAAGTATTTGTATTTATACGGTTGTAAAAAGATTTATTAAAAAAACCAATTCTTTATTTTTTTTAAAAAATTAGATAATTACATATATATGGATCCTCTAAAAAATCCCTCTGCCATCTCAGATGTAATCTGAGAACATGCTACCATAAGAGCATGAATAGGATCATCAGATGCACCTATAAAATCTCTATTACGTCTAATCCAACTTTTTATAGTACTAAATGCAGTCTCAATCGAGTTATAATCAGAAGAATAAGCAGGAAGAAATTCAATACGACAGCCTATCCCTCTTATTATTTCAACCAGCTCTTCATCGTGGTGAATTTTTGCATTATTAAGAATAATTACACTATTTTTACCTGGATATGGATTCATCAAAGGGATCTAAATTAAAAAATATTTAATTTATATAATTCGAATTTATAGAATTTTAAATTAAAATACTAACCAATTGTGATAGTAAAATCGGTTTTTTGTACAACTTCCTTCCATTATATCAAGGGCAAATATTCCATCTAATGATAATGCTGGTAAAATAGTGTATCGTTTACCTTGTAAAAAAACACAAGATTTGCGTGCTCGTGCATTAGCTAATGCATATCCATAGTAACGTGTAAGACTTCGTTCATCTTTTGCACTCTCATCCAGAAAAATTAATTGTTCTGGACTATAATTCATTCTGATCTTGGCAATAAATTCACAACGGATAATTTCATTTCTTTCACATGCTGCCCTTTGCAACTTAAATAATATTAGTTAAAGTAATATATGTGTATATAAATAATTAAAAAATTAGTTTAAATAATTACCTTTTTATGAGTAATTTTTAAATACTTTAGTGATCGCCATAAGGCAGGAATTGAGGCACGTTTACTAGTTAAATTCTCCATCTCGACCACCAGCTCATCGAGGTACCAATCGACCTTTTCTTTGACCAGGTTCTTGAGAATGTTTAATTCTTCATGCGAAAATAACTTTCGCCTTCCTGGTGGAACTTTAAATGGATTAACAACATGTCTCCATTTATTAAAGATCGCAAGAATCCTGCTAACAGAAGATTGACTAATATAAAGTGTTTCAGCTATCTCATGTTCATTGCAACCATCTGCATGGAGATATACTATTCTCCAGCATAAATCTTCACTTAGTGCCCGTCCCATAATTAAAGTAATACTCAAGGTTCGAATTCTAATTTTTTTTTTCTAACCCTGAAAAAATCTTAGAGAATTTTTTTTTTTAGTACTAAAAACGAAACATTCGCTTATAAAGTTTTTTTTTTTGTTTGATAATACTCAAGGTTCGAATTATAATATCTTTTTTAATGAAAAGAGAAAACTCTTTCCAACCGATTAATACAATTGAAAAGGTCTCTAAAAATTTTTTTTTTTTTTGGTAAGAAAAACAAAGCCCCGCTACGAAAGTGTTTTTTTTTTTTTTGTTACCAAGGTGATTCCAAAACTCTAAATCATTCTTTTTTTTGTAAAAAGATTAAAAAAACATTAGATAATAAGATTCTTTATTAAATATTACTTTTTTGTTCTTCCACTTATGTTTTGAATTACTAGTCAGTAATTATAGTTTATTCATAAAATAATGTACACATTTTATTCTCTATATTATCTAAATCTCTTTGTAGTTACCTACTACCAATTAATTTTTTTTTTTTTGGTGGAAAGAAACTAAAAAATAATATGAATACCCTAACCGCTTTAGTATTCATGAGTATTCATGAAATCTACGCTAGTAAAGGGAGCTTGTAAAAAGAAAATATATGAATAATAGGGATACAAAACGTAATTTTTAAATGAGTTCCACAAGGTATAAGGCAGCTACCTATAGCATAATCGAGGAACTCACGGGACTCACGGACTCAAAAAAAAGATCTGCAAAATTCGCCGATCCAACTAAATCGAAAAGAGCGATAAACTAAATTCAATAACCATTTTTTATTTGAATTCTACGAACATAAAAAGGAAAAATTTATCAAAATTGAGATGATGGTTGTCAAGTTATATTCGCTAAAAGTTCGAGAAAAATTCAGTTGAATTTTTTTTTTAACTTTAGCAAAGGTTTCTTGACAACCACCAGGCTAAATTTAATGAACTTTTTTTATTTGAATTCCACGAATCCGTAGAACGCAAATAAAAAAAATTCGTTAAATTTTGTCTGGTGGGTGTCAAGATATCTTCGCTCAAAGATTAAAATATGATTATCAAATTGCCGATTTCCAGATTTCCAGATTCTCAGTGATGTGTGATCTACGAAATTTGATGATCACAGTAAATTGAAGGTATCCCCCAGTAGCGATAATATATATGATAAAAAAGGCTAGGTAAGACTAAATAGTTATATAATATAAAAATGATAATGAGAAAATGGAATGACATATAATACGTATATGCCAAATGACAAATTATAAGCATGTAAATAATAAAGAGACTGCCATTCTGATTAGCCACTCTTTTCTACTCCTTTTGAAGATTCTATTAAAAATTACTTTTCCTTTAAAACATTCATATGTTGTTGTACACATTTATTATCTAATTAGCACATATTTCTGTGGGCAACAACATTCATATAAGATGGGATAAAGAATAAAGGACATTAATAAATATTACACTCCTTGTTGGCTATGTGACTATAAGCTGGAAGGTGATTGTTTATTGCGGTTTGCAAAAAAATGTGAAATTTGCTGATCAAAAAAAAAAAGAAATCGATGATTTCTAATTTCTGATTGCCGATTTTTTTAACATTACTTCTGATGACGTATGTATATCAACTAATATTATACCATATACATAAAGTCTTATATATTTATTTAGCATACATTTTTTTAAAAAAAAATCATTTCTAATGACTAAAATTATTATCCCGGAACATGCTTTGGATGCACAAATGTCAACTTCTAAAATTTATTGTAATGAAAATATAAGTTATGCTAAATTTCCTTAGCAACATCATGTAATAATCCTTATAATATTAAATTTAGTGCAGCTTCTAAATTTTCTTCTTGCTTATCATGCAATAGTAAATTTTACCGGGCTAGAAAAGAAGCAAAATTTAATATTACACAAT